TGCCAATCAAATCTGCGGGGCAGAAATGGCCCTTTGGGACTCAAAGGCCAACCTTACTCTGACTTTGAGAATTGGGAAAGAAATTCTTATTTGGAAGGACGAGCTGGGCCAGCTCTTCATGGTGGTGGCCACGTTGATGAGGTTACCGTTTTAATTCTCCATGTCACTTTGTAGAACCCCCAAATCTCTCCTGGGAAACAGCCGAGACGGGGGAATCATTTCACTCTCCTTGTTTGGCTTCGCTCACCAGGTGGAAAATATCTCTCCCCCCCCAAAAAAAGTCTCTTTTCCTTTTGAAATGTAGATGTAATTTGAAATGTCAACAAATCAACCGGGCTCCCACGGAGGAGATAACTAGATACCCCTGGCCTTCTATAATTACAATTGATTTTCTATCATGGATTTCATTAGGAAGGATTTCTGGGCTACGTTGCCCAGGTTAACACAAACAATAAACCTCAAACGGCTGGTCGTAATATAGGTTGCGTTGCCAGCCTGCCTCGCCTGGCCTTTCTCGCCCCTCCCGGGGTTTGGAGTCTTTGCCTTCGAAGTGGCTCAGAATGATCCCGATGGGAAGCAATCTCTGGGTCTCCAGTTGATCTTCCTCTCCTTTCTCAGCCCGGACTTGCCAGCCGACCCTGCAGGCCGGTTGGTGCCTTGCCCAGAGGCCGGGAGGTCAGACTTTAACTCGCACCGCAGACACCTGAAGGGTTGCTGATGTGGGAAGGCGTCCTCGGCCTCCGAGTAGTTGTTTGCGTTGGCATTTGTGCGTGGTGTGAGGCCAGCCAGGCTCTTGGGCTGGCATCCCACGTACAGCTGTGCTCCTGTCTCTGTCACTAATGGGCCTCCTGCTTCCAAGGCGCCGGGGGAGGGGGGGAGCGAGGAAGCAGATTGCAAAGAGGGAAGGCACCTTCTCCCCACCCTCTCCCCTGCCACATCCCACAATTCAGTCTTAATTGCTTGTCCTGAACTGAGCAGGGGGGCATTTATTAAGCAGTGAAAATCGCACGTTGCTTTGCAAGCCTGAAGCCGTGCAGGAACGGCGGCTGGTTCACAGAGGGCCATAACAATCGACTAACTTGGCATTGTCTTTTGGATGTCTTGGCCATTTGAGGCTCAACAATAGTGGTTTCCCCTGGGGGGCTTCCTCCTCCTGGGCGAACGCTCCGTCTTATGCAGGCATCTCATTAGCCCCTGCCACTTGCTCCCAGCATCCTATGTCTTTCGTCTCCGTCTGAGCACTCAATTGTGGCACCGCTGGAAAAGCCAAAGCACCCAATTTGGGTAGCTGTCAACATCATTCTGCGGGTGCGGCATCACAAAGCCTCCATGTGCCCGGAGAATTCCTAGGGGACCCTGCGTTCAATCTCTCCGATGGTTCTTCTCTGCTGATCTGGTATACTGTCTACGCACAGCGACCCCCTCCGGCTTTCTCCTGGGGGTCCCTCCTCAGCCGAGAGACTTTGGGGTTCTTTGACCTTCCCTCTAGAAACCCCAATTCCCCCGATACCCTTTCCTGACCAGGGACAACAGAGGGTCTCCATGGGCCTCTCCTGGGCCTCTCTGCTCCAGCTGTTAAGGGCTGTGTTGTTGCCAGTGGCTGAAGGAAGCTGAGAGTAGTGAATGGTCGGATCCCAAGAGGAAACAGCCTCCTCCTCCTCCTCCTCCTCCTCCTCCTNTCCCCTGTGGTTGTAAGCCGCCCTGAGTCCCCTCAGGGAAAAGGGCGGCATATAAATCCCAATAAAACCAAAACCAAAACCAAACATTTCAGTATCGTCAATAAAAAGATGGGAAAGAGGGTCATAGAATCATCTTAATTATCTTTTCTTTCAAAATCATGGAACTGAAATGATATATATAGGCCCCAAGAGGATGAGTTTGGATATAGATCTCATTTAAACATAGAGCCCCATGGAAAAAGTGAGAAATTTAAACTATTACTAGTAATCTGGATTATGGATGAGGAGCCAGATTGTTGGGGGCAATATGCTGACTCTGTAAACCACTTAGAGAGGGCTGTAAAGCACTGCAAAGCGGTATATAAGTCTAAGTGCTATTGCTATTATCGTGAAATGTTAGCAAAAATTATCTACAATAAAACAGGACTACCTTTAAACGTTTTTAGAATATTTAAATGTAAATTTCTTTCAAATCTCTAGCTTACTTTGTACATGCATACATATGTGCCATTCAACTATTGGCATAACAGTTAACAAACAACACATAAATTAAACTTTATGAGTAAAAGAAAGGAATGTTATCTAGCATATGTTCAAAAACTAAAGACTACTTCCATGAATTCCCCATTTGATTGGGAAGCCACGCTGTTGGGAGATGGTGATTTATTGTCCAGCACAGCTGAAAAGCATCTGATTAGGAAAAGCTTAAAATTTAGAAAAAAGAAATCTGGCAAAATACTAAAGCAAGACAACAAAATACTCTTTATCTGTTGTTGTATAACTGGAAAAGCCAGGCAGCTGGAAAAATAGCCTTGGCAACTGCAATAAGAATTTGGCAATTGTTCTTCTAATGTCTGCTGATCCATCTGTTATATATCATAACAGTCTAGTCCACTGAGAAAGCAGCAGCTGTGCTTTTTTACACTGACTATTCCTAATTTGTCACAGCAAAGTTGTGCTGCCACCTTCTCTTTTATTGCCAGAGCTTGAAATATACATTGCTGAAACTGGTTTGTGTCATAGAGGCCATATTTGCCAGGATAGATTTAAAACATTTGGTGATTGGCACGCTTTGGTCTTGGCAGCCATTTCATCTGAAGTTTCACAAGACATGGGTCTTTGCATTAGCCTCACAGACTGGAAAGCTTATCTGGGCTAAGGTTATAGTAAATCTAATAGATTTATCTCAACATTCCAATAATCCAAGTTGACTCACGGAAGGCAATGTACAAAAAGGAGAGAAAGACAGCCAGAAGATAAAATGAGTCAATTCCATGTATGGTCTTTGCAGCTACCATGTTTTCCCGAAAACAAGACAGTGTCTTATTTTCTTTTGACCCCTGAATTAAGCGCTTGGTCTTATGTTCAGGGAGGTCTTATTATTTTCGAGGTGCAGGAGGCAAGTGAGCGTGGTTACCTCATGGCTGCTGCTCTGTTGCAATATTTTCAGGGAGGACTTATTTTCAGGGGACGGCTTATTTTAGCGCATGCGCTCCAAAGCCCAATTGGGTTTATTATTTGGGGAGGTCTTATTTTCAGGGAAACAGGGTAGGAGTTCTAAGATAAAAGCCATACTATCATTCATGAACTGATTTTGTTCCAGTGATATTTCCAAGTTGAGAAGTGGCTTCTTTCACCAGGATACTGCAGAATCGTTTATCTCTTTATTTCTTGACAGAGCCAAGCTCTCCTACATACATACGTCTGTTTTTCTGATGCTCTGTCTTCAGATATGAATATTCTCAAAGGCTAACTTGAGAAGGCTCTCAGTCTGGATCAGATCGAGGCTGAGCAGATAACAAGGGAAGAAATGTAAATCAACCATTTGTCTGGGCAAAGATGGTTGCTTGGATGGTTCACCGACAAATGTGCGCTCGACAAAAGCGCGCCGCCAAAATCACGGCAAGAAAACTGCGAGGTCAAAATCGCGCCAACGAATGCGTGCAGAAGCGCGCCGACAACAGCGCGCCGACAAAAGCACGCCTTCAATAAACAACTAATAACAACCTAATAACCCTAAACCTAAACCTAAACCTAAACTTAACCCTGAACCTAACCCTAACCCTAACCCTTACCTTAACTTAAATTGTGTTTTTGTGGGCGCGGTTTTGTCGGCGCGTTGTTGTGGGCGCGTTTATGACATTGCAGTTCTCTCGCCGCAGTTTTGTCGGCACGCTATTGTCATGCGTGCATTTGTTGGGTCACGTGCTTGGGTAGATTCACCTTCAATCGCAATACACAGAAGTGTAATCAAAATCCAGTCCAATGTTCAGACAGCCAGTTTCATAAGCAGGATTCACAGAAATCATACATCACACCAGGAGATCAAACAGAGAAACTTGGGTGGGGCTGCCATTAAATCAGGCTGCAAAAAGCTGTCTTTAATTAAGAGTTTCCCCCTGCTTGGCAAGAAGAAAGATTGAGCATCTTTGTCCTGGTTTCCACTCTACTTGCCATGTGTTGGAGATTGTATCGTGTTATCTGATTGCTTCAGAGTTTGATCAGTCTCAAGTGATTTCTGCCTTGGTATCTCCTGAGGCTAATATTCTACTGGTTCAGCTGGAGTAGCTTCTTCAATGTCAGAGTCTGAGGCCTGGACCATGAGAAAGTCCGGTTCTTTAACAGCCATAAGATTTGAGGCGTTGTTGTTAGTTGCAAAGTCATGTCTGACCCAGCATGACCTCATGGAAAATATTCCTCCAGGCCTTCTTGTCCTCTACAATTCTCTGGAGTCCATTTAAGATCATGCCTACTGCTTCAGTGACTCCATCCAGCAACCTCATCCTCTGTCATCCCCTTCTTCTTTTGACCTCAATCTTTCCCAACATTAGGCTCTTCTCCAGTGAGTCCTTCCTTCTCATTTGATGGCCAAAAATATTTGAGTTTCATCTTCAGGATCTGGCCTTCTAAAGAACAGTCAGGGTTGATCTCCTCTAGGACTGACCGGTTTGATCGCAATGTGTTATATGGTAATAACTGTTCATTACTTGCAATATATATGCATACCATTGGCTAAAATGTAGGATGATCTCTTTCTTCCTTGATTTAATCTTTACCAAGTCTTGGTTTTAATTATGTTCCCCCTTCATAAATATTGAATTTGAGACTCCAGTTTTATTATAGCTTTAGTACTCATTTATATTTGTATTTTAGCAGTGTGATACTCATTTCTGTAGGATGTTATTGGTTTTGGGGGAGAGAAAATCAGGGTAGAAATAAACTATTATGAACATGGTGGCAACCAAGGCAAATTCAAGTCCGTAATCTAGGCTTGTAATCACTCCGCTAACTATAACTGATTTCATTATTCCAATTCTTCAGGACAATCTCCTCCTGGGAAACCTAGAATAGTAAGTTGCCTGTCCCAAGGAAACGAAACATTTACTTGCCGATGGGAACCTAATTCAGATGGGGGTCTTCCTACAAATTATACTCTGCTCTACAACACCATTGGGTAAGAATATATGAGAAAGTAATATATGGAAAATATATGGGAATAATAACTTTTATGTACTTTGTTCTTCACACAGTTCAATAGAGGTAGATACACCTTAAGAATAAGATTATCATGTATAAAGTAATATAATGCCTGTAAACACCCCTCTAAGTTTTTTAAACTATGATTACTTGAACATAACCACAGGCATAATTTACACAAGGGCATAGCTTCTACTTTTATAGCTGTAAATAATAGATCATCTGAAAGGAAGAAAAATGGATGCCTGGATGTGATGTTTGAGGGAAATTGTTACAATACTTTAGATCTGTGATGGTGAACCTATAGCAATGGTAGCAATGGTTAGACTTATATACCGCTTCATACGGCTTTCAGCCCTCTCTAAGTGGTTTACAGAGTCAG